TGGTTTGTTGGTTTGTTGGTTTGTTTGTTTGTTTGTTTGTTTGTTTGTTTGTTTGTTTGTTTGTTTGTTTGTTTGTTGTTTTGTTTCTGTGTTTGTTTGCGTGCTTGCTTGTTCGTTTGGTTGGTTGTTGTTTCTGTTATGAAACTGAGCTTCAAATGATCTGTGCCAAGAACTTGAGTGCACCACACGGTTATCTGGGGGCCTGAGTGATCAGAATACTGTTTGGGGAGTACTAAAGTATGCTTGCAATGAGGAGCCTCAAGGAATTATACTAAAGCCGAAGACTTTAACCCCAAACCCAAGGCAAGACCTAACCCTTCTCACGTGTCTCGGGGTAGACGCCGATGCCGTTGGAGAACCTGCCACGTTGCGAAGCTGCGCTCTTTTCGAGCAGTTTACAAGCGTCTTCTTGGCACTTGCTGAACTGTGAATCCTCAGGACAAACATGACGGCAGAGTTTGGTTTTGGGGTTTAGCACTCGCGGTTCAGAAAGCTTGGTACTGCTGAGACTTCACAGCTGCACTCAAGTCTGTTGGCATCAGTTTTCGTTGTTGCTTGGTTACTTTCTTTGACGAAGACTTTCAGCAAAGTTGCGCAGTTTGGCACGGGCACAATCAATATCCAAATGAAAAGTTAGCTAGCCTTTATACTCAAAACCCGTGCAAAGCTGATATAATTATGTTGAAGTAGCACAACCCATGAAAACGAAATGTCACAGCTGTCGCTCGATTTCAGTACATGTCTCCACTGCAGCCAGTGTGCAGCGAGGGCCGACGTATTGCTGAGGTTGTCATGGAACGATGTTGTAGCGATTCCTTTGGAACCGCGACCGTGAATTGGGATTGCAAAAGCGGGCTGCACAAAGAAGCACCGCCGCGTGTGCAGCTCGCGTGAAGGCAGGGAAACACCCTACGGACACATATCTGTTGAACTCTCGCAGAAAGAAACCGGTTCCTCGTGACATGTCCAGAAGGCACTGAAATCGCACGTGCCGTCTCGGTGGAGGCTGTAATCGATCCAGTCCGAGACTTTCATTGCCATGTTTCCTCCTTTGTTGGGCAGGTTCATCGAGCAGCACTTGTTGTTCACGACACAATCCCTCTGTCGGAGTGGTAGGTCGCATATGCCTCAGTTGGCAAGCATGTCGGGTCGGAGCCTGTCGGGATTCTACAAAAGCCTCACGAAATTAGAGTAGGGTTTAGGGGTATGTTGTACTGTAGTATAAATGTAGAAATTTTCAAGGACTATAAGAGGATACTATTACTTAATCTTCCGACCCCTATATTGCCACTGCAGGGTTCTTAGCTGGAGGGGTCATTGAGCTTGATGGTTCAGGGTCCCTCTGCGGAGACATATGCACAAAAACCCTCACCCAGACTGCAAGCAGCGCAGTACTTGTTTCTGACGGTTGGAGCTATGGGGCGGCGAGGTTGGAGGTTTGTGGATGGCTCTTGGCTTCAGAGCTCCCGGGGATGCACACAGAGTCAGGGAGCCAAGGCATTGACTCAAGTCCCTCTACACACCGGAGCCTTATTGCCAACTCCGCATTTTGCCTTGATTGAGTGCCGTCCCCAAAACCCCCAAGCCCTTAAACCCAAAACCCTAAATCCTAAACTCTGAGATTAAACCCAAAACCCCAACCCTAAACCGTCAGCTTCTTCCGGGCCTGTCCCGCAAGACCACCCGCTGTTCAGTGTGCCGACCCTTGTGTTTAGGATTCAGTTCCTGGATTTCTGGCTTCGGGCACTTCTTCTAAGTTTAGGCCAGACGTTTCTTTGAAGCTCCTTTCCATCTGCCCCTAGCCAGGCCGCCAAGAAGAGCTGAGAGTTTAGGGTCTCCAAGGTTCTGAGTTTGGGGTTTCCGGGTTGGGGGTCCCAAGATTCAGGGCTTAAGAGTTTAGGGCTTAGGGTTTAGGGTTTAGGGTTTAGGGTATAGGGTTTAGGGTTTAGGGTTTAGGGTATAGGGCTTAGGGTTTAGGGTTTAGGGTTTTGGGTTTAGTGGCTCAGGCAGGGGCCCAGGTTCTCGGCCGTCGCATTGTCCAAGCAGGCGTTCATCGTCGCCTCGTCACCTCTGGCCGTTGTAGCGCAGGATCGCTAGTCAGATTCTCTTGCAAATCATTGCGTTTCTTGAGGCTGGGAGCCCTACACATGTTATGTTGGCTTTGATTTGATTCGCGCGGGAATTGTGTGCTCTGAAACATGGTCCTGCTCTGGTCAGGGATGCAGAGTGGGGCTCATTTCATCCCGGCCACACGATCCACCCACCAGTCCGCATCCTTGAAGGACTCCACTGATCATCACCCCAAGAAGGATCAGCAAGGCCGGCTTGAACATGATGCAAGGACCAGCGCAGGGTTCAACCGCTTGAGCAGTGCCACGCTTTCCGGCCACGCAGAAGTCAGGCAAACACTGTCAAAACAACAGTGTGGTGTTGCTTCGAGGCGCGGCCTTGTTCGTTAGCCCGCTCTCATGTTCCCAAACAAGTGCATCTCCGCAACCCCAAAACCCTTGCTCTTAAAACCCTAAAATGACATAACCCTGAAACCAAAACCCGAAAACCCCGAACCCCCAAAACCCGAAAAGCGTAGCCCGCACACCTGAACATCCTACAAATCCAGAGCCCTTAGCCAAAAACCCTAAACCCATGCCATGCACTGCACAGAAACAGAAGCAAAACTTAAACACGTCAGGCGCACGGAGTGGACCATCTTGAGCTCGAGGTCGTTCAAAGTGCTTCATCCCCAAAAGTGAACAGTTCATATTAATTACTCACTGCCATCACGCACACAGAGTAACTAAACCCGAAGTACCGAACAAATAATGATATTGAACCCTGAACCCGTGACCGAATTCCGCCGCCCTAAGCTGTAAAGGGTCTAAGCCCTAGACCTCAAACCCCAAACAACCGTCAAACAGCCCTAGAGCCTACTAGATCGCAAACCCTGTAATAAACTAGACCTGAACAACACCGGGAGATCAGAACTTCCGGCACGGCCTGCATTGGCGACACAGAACTTCTCTTTTGAGGCACATGCGTGGCACGGCAGCGGGGCCTGCGAAAGTCAAACGCCAGGACCTCTGGTGTTTCGTGCTAGGCCTGCTAGGGGGGAGGTCCAAATGGGCCTTAATAATTACCTATATTATTTTGGGGGTTCCTTATTGTAAGTATGGTATTATTTCTGAATACCCATGGAACCGGGGTCTTAGGGCTCCGGGCTTGGAGCTGGGGTGAACGTTGCTTTGCAACTCCGGTCATCTACACCGGGATGCAATTTCATTTGTCAGAGAGTTGACCTCCGCCTGTACATGAAACGGTTCATAGTATACCCTATTCCGAAACGGAACCAGAAACTGCAAACGAGAAACTCCTGCACTATCCAAACAAGCCCCCTAGACCCTAAACCCTAAACCACATTCACACCTGACCATCGCTGGCGTGGGTGGGTTCAGCGGTGCCACAGGGGCTGAAGCCTTCAGCATTGCAGCTGTTTGGATTTTTTTGCGGTTCAGGAGTGTGTCAAGTTGCAATGCATCTGGCATAGGGTTCTGCAAGATTTATAGCTTAAAGTAAAAGCTAAGTTGGAGATCGTACGGGGCTTGATGCATGGTTTAGGTCTTTTGGTGCCGCAGGTGCGAAGCCAGAATGTGCGGAGGGTTTTGGGCGTTCCTGGACTTTGCGGCTAGGGTTTAGGGTTAAGGCTTTAGGGTTTTAGGGGCTCACAGTTCCGCTTCTCCTGTTTCCAAGCATCGTCTTCTTCCAGTCTTGCACATGAACTGTCCATCCGGCTACGACTTTTTTGAGCTGTCATAGGTACAGCATCGATCACAGACCCAGGGCAGAGGGCTCATTCCCCCAACCCTATGCCCTGAACGGCCTCAACCCTAAACCTAAAACCCCAGACCCTGAACTAGGCCCTGAATGCTAAGACCCCAAACCCGAAACCAAAACCCAACACGAGACCCAGACACGAGCACGCCGTGGCGGTCGGTCGCCAGAAACAGGCACCAGCCGGGCCTCTGCTCATTTTGTGGCTTTAGAGATTTAGGGTTGGGCTTTATAGATGCAAGGCTCAAGAATAAACAGTTCCAAGGGACAAAAAAACAGGGCATAAGTTAAGGGTTTTATGGTTTTTGGGGTTTTCGCGGGTTCTGTCTCGGGTCTAGCCATTTAGGGTTTGGAGTTTCTGTCTGTAGCGGCTTAGTGTTTAGGTTTTAGCTTTTTAAAATTGAGGGTTTAGGGCTTTACGGCTTTCGGGTTTAGGGTTTAGGGTGTGTATACAGTGTGCAGGCGGTGGGCACGCCTTTTACTTTAGGAATAGGGGCGCACCCACTTATCGCGCGCTTGCGTCAACATGTAGTCCCGCCCCCACCCAACTGTTCTCAATTAGGCTTTAAGGCTCACCCCCCAAACCCTTGCACCAGCAAACAGCAACCCAACCCCCAGCCCAAAACGTTTCGGTCAAAATGCTTTTCGGTACCCAAGCCCCTACCAATTTCTATAAACCCTGAACTGAGGGTTTAGTGTTCGGGCTTCAACTGTTGAGGCCAGTCTAGTGATGAAGGGCTGCAGGGCAAACGCGCTTGCACGACAGTATCCTGGTGACGGGGTGGGTGTCCCTTGCTGCAGGCAGTGATCCCCGAAGCGCGTCTTAAAAGACTCGTGCAGGCAGATATCTAGATGTTAGCCCAACAAGAACCAGAAACCCCTACATCCATAGCCGGCATGCTTCCAGAAGCAATCGAACGAATGTTGGCTCTGGCCTGTGCTGCTGCCAACCAGTCACAGTGCTGGTTGGGGTGCCATTGCGATGTGACCTGCGATGGATGTCTGGAAGCCGCGGCCATGCCAGCTTTAGCGAGAACAAATCCCTAAAACCTAAAACCCGATCATTGACAATGAAAGAGTTGCCTGCTTCAGGGGCAACACGGGACATCAACCAGAAATAAGCATGCACCACTTTCAACCAAAAAAGCCATACCAGCCAGCGCAGCGATCACTACTTGCAAAAGTGACTCCTAGCTGCAGATCAAAACTCAATCGGACCATCTATCTAGGGGCTTTAGGAGGGACCCTTAATAGGGATTATTTAAGGTAATGGGATTAAGGGTGCCTATTAGGGGTCCCTCCTAAAGTCCTTAGAATCTAGGAATGCTTCGAACTTTCTATCAAGCACGGCCTTCGAAGCGTAGGAAGCCGGGCCATCCACCCTGAAACCCTGCAGCTCAAGGCACATGAACACAAATTACACATTTGTCCATCTACGTGCCTATGTGCTTACATATGCAAGTGTGTGTATGTATGTGAACATATATATAAATATATATATACAGACACATACATACATGGCATATGTGGAGACAGAAACAAAAAGCTCCATAGTAAACTGAAAAATGCAGGAGGGAACAAAGGAATGAGATTGCCAATTATCGAGGCTCGCGTTCTCTAGTCGTGGCACGTCCATACCCGACCACTTCGCTCAAGCCCCGCAAGGACCATTGACCGGTGAGCCATACCCAAATGCCTTTCTCCCGCACTGCCTTCTGAAGACCTCTGCGACTAAGGGATAAGGTCCATGAGGTTCGCATGCGGGCTTTAGAGTTTATCATGTAATAGGGGACCCTCATCTAGTACTCGAAATAGTAGGATCCTTATTACAAGGACCTAAAATAAGGTACCCCTAATTTTCGGGAACTTGCCAAACCCTCCTTTAGGGCTTCACCCCGAAGTCCCACAGCAGCGGCCTGAGAAGCAGCCATCTCGTCCTGTCTTCCTGATAGCTAAACGCTCGCGAGCCGGACCGGCGGATCAGAAGCACTGACGGTTTAGGGTTTAGGATTTAGGGTTTAGGGGTTTTTTTTTAAGCACCTTTTTCCGTCTGAGGGTAGGTGTCCTTTCGGTTGTCAGCTCAGCTGTCGACCCCATTCTCTTAGCCCTCATACTTCATCCATGGTGCATCTTGATCATCTTCATCATCCTGGAGTGCACCGTCAGCCTGACCCTCGTGTGGATGCCCCGGTCCCCCTCCAGACAACCCTCTGCTTCTGGAAACCTTTGCCCTGCATGCTGTGCTTGGTGTGCTGGATCTCCAGGAGCCTGTCCACCCCTTTGCATGTCCTCCTCGTCAAAGAGTGCATCGCCGTTCTGAGGGTTTAGGGTTTAGGGTTTAGGGTTTAACCCAACTCGAATGCAACAAACCACCTGACGCAGGTCTCTGTTCTGTTGCATGCTGACCTGGAGCTCAAACGGGACCTGCTTCAGGACACCACGAGGGCAGGATGGTGCAGATCAGGCTAGTGTCTGCATACATGTGTGGCTGACATCCTCGCAACGACTCTACTCCAAGTGGAGGAAACCCTCGGCCAGAAGACCGATCCTGAAACCGCAAGCCCTCAACCCTGTATGGGAGTTACCGACAATAAGGGGCACCTTCTTTTGGGGTCCTTATAATAAGGACCCAAATATATATAGGATACTATCTTAGGGTCCCTCTATCTTCGGAAACCTCTCTTACCGCAACCTCCTACTCCCACCCTTTTTTTGCTCAGAACTTCGCCTCGCAGGGTGGCAGCACGCCTCCGCTCCTGCTTCCAGCATACTTTTTCCGAAAAGCTGGACACCAGGACCCCCAGGAGCGAGCCATTCTTGGTCTAAGAGTACTCTGACTAGAATTAGTATATTATTGGTCTAAGAGTACGGTGAACGTACTGAATAAGAAATCGTTCCAAACAAGAAATCAGGGGCTGGCCAAACTGAAATTTCTTAGCCCGGCGTCTATGCTGCACCAAATTTCTTACCGCTCCAGCCCTCCAGCCCTCCAGCCCTCCAGCCTTCCAACCCTCCAGCCCTCCAGCCCTCCAACCCTCCCTCCAGCCCTCCCTCCAGCCCTCCCTCCAGCCCTCCAGCCCTCCAGTCCTCCAGCCTCCAGCCCCCAGCCCTCCAGCCCTCTCTCCACCCTCCAGCCCTCCAGCCCTCCAGCCCTCCAGCCCTCCAACCCTCCACCTCCAGCCCTCCAGCCCTCCAGCCCTCCAGCCCTCCAACCCATCCAGCCCTCCAGCTCTCAACTTTCAGCCCTCCAGCCCTCCAGCCCAGCCCTCCAGTCGGGATACCGTCTTAGAAATCTAATCGGACCCTGAGCCTATGTTTAATTTCTTATTTGAAGGTTGCCCCGATAAGAAATTTCCAGGGTCTAATCTCATCTATGCCCATTTCTTATCTCATGTATTCACCGTACTATTCTTATTTTTAGAATTTGGTATCAATGTGATCCTGCTTAGCAATACTGTTACTGCTACACGTTTGTTCTTGGTCTTGTTTTTTCGCTAAGACAATTAAT